CTCGGCAGGTGGGCAGAGCCTCCCACCGCCACCACTACCAGTCCGCCTGAGCGAGGTGGCGCAGTGGTTAAATGCAGCACTGCAGGCTACTTCAGCTGACTGCAGTTCTGCAGTTCGGCTGTTCAAATCTCACCGGCTCAGGGTTGACTCAGCCTTCCATCCTTCCGAGATGGGTAAAATGAGGACCCGGATTGTTGTTGGGGACAATATACTGACTCTGCAAACTGCTTAGAGAGGGCTGAAAGCCCTATGAAGCGGTATATAAGTCTAACTGCTATTGCTATTGCTATTCGCCTGATCCGGGCTGAAATGGGAGCAACTCACCTCTGGCCCACCCCCAGTTTAGCAAAGGGGGGGAGCATCACAATACGTCACATAACATCAATGTGACGCTGCGAGTTTGGTTTAAAGAATAGAGTCAATTTTATGTTAACGAGATTATTATCATTATCGTCATCATACCTTAATACTAGGAAAAGTATTCTTGGCTTTTCCGTAACTTAGTATAATATATGCAATGATTAGTTTTTCCTCAAAACTGTCAGAAATCATGCTTTAGCAAGAAGCTTTTGTTGAATTTTGAGAGCCACTGACTGGGAGCCTGACCTGTACGTTTGACCTCTTCACAATTTTTAAAGCCATCAGCATTTGGGTTGCGCAAGATTGTAATAACCAACACCTCAAAAATCCAGTGATGTGTTTATGTTTGACCTGTTTGCAGCTTGACAATATTTAAATCAATAATAATGCTATTAGAAGGGGAAAATCGAATGCAAAATAATTCTCTAGGCTTTGTTTGTATAATGACACTTGCTCTTTTGATGAATTGTTAATGTAAGCATCTTTTTTCCCTTGGTTCTGTTCAACGTTTAAAAAATTTAATATTTACAGACTCTGCTTGGATTGAACATGAGGGGAAGAAACTCATGTAGGCATTGTGGTTTGGGGAAAAAAAGGTGTTGTGTTTTCCACAAACACATCTCCCCTCTGCTGCTTATTAAAGCAGCCAGCAGTTTTCAGGTCTACCTGTACCTGTACAAAAAAAAATGCTCCTGCTTCAAGAAATGTGCTCCACAATATAAACACAACTCTTGAAACACCAGCATTTTTTCTTCAAGCTCACATGAAAATCTGGGAAAAAAAACCACAGGTGATGACTAGATGAGATCAAAGTACTTCTAAATCATTTTTGAAAGGTTCATAGTTTTAATACTTTGTACTTTAGAAGTTTTCATTTCCATTTTTACAGTCTTTCGTGGCAACTGAGCCCTTATGTCTATGGTGAATCAGAGGTGGGTTCCTGCTGGTTCTCACCTCTTCTATAGAAGAGGTTCCACAAATCTACAGTGCCGTTTAGAACCGGTTCCAGCTCCCTCCCTCCCCCCGCCCGTCCGCACATCATCAAGATGAAGAGCGAGAGGAGGAATTCTGGGATTTGAAGTCTTAAAGCTGTCAAGTTTGAACACCCGTAGGTTTTTTTCTCAAGGTTTATGGGTGCAAGGGTCTTGTAACTTGGCAGCTTTAAGA